GACAGTGTGCTCGCTTGTGGCTTTGCATCAAATCAACATTGTATTCCCAATAATAGCGTGTGAATTTCATGAGAATGGAACATATTTATGCTTGATCCGCTAGGGAATTTCTGAATGTATTATTTTCTGTCACCAGGGTGAAACAACACAAGGAAACGACGCAAACACTAAAGACTTCCTCATCGTCTTCATCATCTAGCTCATCAAGTTGTACCAGTGCGGCAAGCTCAGAGTGCAGCGATGATGCATTTATTGACGTGGTAGACGTTGGCGATGTAGACGATCATCTATTCAACACAGCAGATAATGACTATATTTCAAATTCAATATTAAATATACTAGAAGAAGGAAATATCACTGGTACGTGAGGTGTGATGTAAATTTTTCATTTAATTGATTTATGTCCCTAAAACTAGTGTTGAAAATCTTGTACAGATTTTACCATAGTTATTTTTGCAAAGCCCTTTAGTTTGATCACAAAACGATTGTCTGAGTTCCTGTTGCATGCCCAAATGCATATTTCCTTGTTTCCTGACAATGAGACCCTGTACGATGTACGTCCAATTGTCTTATAGTGTTCTATTCTCAGTGTAAATTGAAACATTGCTATAATAAATAAAATATGCTAAATAATCACACACTGCCACCTTTATAGTAGACTTAACTCAGAAGCGTGCACTTGAGCAGACTTTGCTGACTATTTCATGACAGTAAAGCTTATTAAAAGTGCTATATTAAAACAATGCAAGGTATAACTACCTGTCTTCTCTGTTTTATATGGAAGATAGGATTTAAGCTTTGCAGACATACTGCAGTGTGTTTTCTGAGACTTGTAAATTTTGTTGTCACTACATTGAAATAAACTTGACGCATTGACCACAGTAACATCCATGTGTTTTGTGTTGATGGAGCCATTATTAGCGCCAGATGGTTCAAATGATCCCTCGACTCGGCTTACGCTGTCAGTTTAATGCAATGCTTTGCACATAATCAGCCCTGCAACACAATCGCATTAATTACAAGTCATGGAATTGTTGCATACTATAATCTGCAGCCTTGTAGAACCCTGGATTCAGTAATACTGTAACACAATGTGGCTTATTGCATGCATGTTTGTGTCAGTTCTCAGCTGTTGCTGGATAATACCAGATTGGTCAGTCCCCCCCCCCCCCCCCCCCCATGTAGCTGAAGGGCATGTACCGTACCTATCCGGGTAAGAGCCCATGCCTGGACAAACCCCCCCCCCCCCTTTTGGCACAATAAAAAAAGTTGAGGTCATATCCGGGCACACGCCCAGGGGGTCTTTTTCTACACACAAAAAACAAACTATTTTCTATTCGTTGACTGTGGTTGTATTAACAGTTGACTTTTTTGAAGTCTGTCGTGATACTTATAAACATTGTTAATTGTGTA